TTGATCTAGAATCCCATTTAGAATAATGGAGCTAACATGGAGGGCAGTTGAAAATAAATCTGTATCTGTTTATCTGACTCTGCTCTTCTTCATTGCTCTTCATTGACATCCATGAACTGTTAACCTCTTGAGGAGTTTAGAATGTTCACTGTTCTGCTAGCAGCAACGTTCCATTACAGAATGCCACGGAATGAGAATGAGTTAGCGTGTCATTGTGATGTCATCAAATAGAATCAATTAGAACGTTCCGCAACGTACTGATGACATTTGCTGATCATGCTTCTCTACTATGGAACTGAAAACATTTGATATACATGTGGAAGCTTTTCTGCAAATGTATCTTTGAATGTAACAACGTCTAGCTAGATCAACAGCAGCCAAAGTGTCTGGAGGGCATTGTGACAGGCTACATTAGAATTAGATGACTGATTTATTCTATGAATACCCCCAGCACAGCATGATCCAGTCTGTGATATGATAATTAAGATATTGGAATATATCCTCTGTTAGACAATAGTTTGTCATTTCCACATGCTTTGCTCTTCCGAAAGGGTTTTGATAGGGCTTTTGACCATACAGGGCTCTGGTCAAAAGTAGTGAACTAAATAGGGAATAGGCTGCCATTTGGGACTCAGCCTGCTCTATTAGATCTATTTGTAATGTGTCTGTCAGTGTCTGGAAACAGTGTTGTTTCTCCTCTAAGAGTCTGAGGTTCTGCCCCGACACGCCTCAGGCTGTGTACAGCTGTCTCCCTCACAAGACTCACACCGATTCAATCAGGACATGGGTTTGCGTCCCAAATGGCACCTTATTCCCTATAAAGTGCACTACTTTTGACCAGGGCCCATAAGGCTTTGGTCAAAAGTAGTGCACTACATAGGGAAATAGGGTGCCATTTGGGATGCAGCCATGGACGCCTCAATGGAGTGACCAGTGTTGTTTCTGGAGAAGGAGCATCCTCATTCTCGTTTTCTTCACTTTAGCATGGAAAAATGGCAAAGAGAGGGAGAGAGAAGTAGAAAGGAGTCAATTTGCATTGGTTTATCATTTCTGAGTTTGATTAGTTATGCCATACCTACCCCATTCCCTACCCCTACACTGTTAAAATAGAAAGACTCAAAACACCATCATTGTGTACTGAAACCATGAAAAGTAGTGCACCTAAGCTGAGATCTGTTTGAATGTAAACCCATATAATAGAATGTGTTTTAAAACAGAATGGAAGTACTCTGAAACAGTACTGCGGCAGACATTCTAATTAATCACAAGGTACACTCTGGTAACATTGGTGTTTTTAAGAGAGAGTTGTGGGGTTTCAGAACATGTAAAAGGCAGCATCAAATCACAATAATGTTTTTGCACTGTCTCTCTCATACATTCATTTCCAGTGACACATTTTAGAAATGTATTGAGATCAATAGACAGCGCAGTCATATTTGTCCATAGTTTTCTGAAATATGTTCACATTTACAGAGGACACTGGGAATATAATAATTTTCCTAGGGTAGGCAATGGCACTACTTACTACTACAGTTGCCAGGCTCTTTGTGAGGTCATAAATGATGTTACGTTCAAAATGTTTAGGGTTATGTAAGGTAACATGTATAAAGCAGAGACAACATGTACAACATATAGCAGAGGTAACATGTACAGCATAAAGTTGATATTTGTGTGACAACATGGATTTGAAACGCGGGTCTCCTGCTTGTCAAAACACTGTCCACTCAGCCATCAGTCTTAACTGTTGTGTTGAACCACCAATGTTACGCTGAGCACATGGGACCCGATTCAGACTTGAGATATACAGACTTAACATGGACTTGAGTCAATAAAACATGGTCATTCTTTGACGTAAGTCCACGTTAAGTCAACTGATCTCAAGTCTGAATAGGAATTTCACCTTTCTCTGTGTGGAATTCCAACTTTATATTTTCAATGCTTTATTTACACAGATTAGAAACATGAGGATACAGAGAAGGAGTGAAAGTGGGACAAGCTGTAATTGAACCCCTGACTTGTGGGATAGTAAGATAGCAAATTCGTTTGGAACGTTACCCACTCAACCACATCTCCATGTGTGGAACTTGTGAATCCCATTTAGTTAAAGCCTGGGCCCCCATGTCAGAAGACAAATGTTTAGATTAAAGACCAAAAGTGAACTTCAAACATTGTGCTGCCGTACTGTTCAGAATTCTCCCAATCTCAGGCATGGAGGTGGAGAAAGGGCATTCGTTGATCACTCTATGGTCAAGCGTAAAAACAGGCAAGTTTGCAGGCGCCTTCCCTCTATTTTGGTCCTTCATGAACTCAGACAGGTGAGAGCACACCAAACGCTCAGGTGAGACTCTCCAAAATGTGTCTGCTATGTTAATAGTCCAAGGCAAGCAGCAATTTTGATCCATTGATCAGTTTTCTTTATGCTACACGTAGTTTTACATTCGTTTTTTTTTTTTTTTTACAAATTAAGGCCTGTTTTTTAGTTATTACTGCTGGCTTGAGTTTATCAACACACCATATAAGAGGAGGGAATAAACAATAAGAGGAGGGAATAAACAATAAGAGGAGGGAATAAACAGTAAGAGGAGGGAATAAACAATAAGAGGAGGGAATAAACAATAAGAGGAGGGAATAAACAATAAGAGGAGGGAATAAACAATAAGAGGAGGGAATAAACAATAAGAGGAGGGAATAAACAATAAGAGGTGGGAATAAACAATAAGAGGAGGGAATAAACAGTAAGAGGAGGGAATATAAACAATAAGCGGAGGTGGGAATAAACAATAAGAGGAGGGAATAACAAATAGAGGAGGGAAAACAATAAGAGGAGGGATAAAACAGTAAGAGGAGGGAATAAACAATAAGAGGAGGGAATCCTCAGCGCACACACACACATTCAGTGACCACACACACACACACACTCAGTGACCATGCACACACTCTCTCTCTCTCACTGACCAGCCCACATACACATGACATCAGAAGAGAGTGCTTTGTGTATTCACAGACTGGGCAGCAGCTAGAGATAGAGATCAGACATCCTACACTGGAGAGAGAGAGAGGACGAGGAGAGAGAGAGAGAGAGAGAGAGAGTAGAGGACAGAGAGATAAGAGAAAGATAGAAGTAGAGAGAACGATATAATCATAGACTCTCTGCTCGAGTCTCTCGGAGTCGCCTATCGCTGCTCATCGAGCTAGATCTAGAGACTCTAAGAGAGAGAGATAGAGGATAGAACCCACTTCTTCCATCTTTTTGGCCCTATAACAGAGAACAAACAGCAAAAAAATATACATGATCAAATGCAAATCTTAGAATCAACTATTAAAAACTACCAGAACCCACTGGATTCTCCAATTACATTGAACGAACTACAGGACAAAATACAAACCCTCCAACTCAAAAAGTCCTGTGGTGTTGATGGTATCCTCAATGAAATGATAAAATATACAGACCACAAATTTCAATTAGCTATACTCTTTAACATCATCCTTAGCTCTGGCATCTTCCCCAATATTTGGAACCAAGGACTGATCACCCCAATCCACAAAAGTGGAGACAAATTTGACCCCAATAACTACCGTGGGATATGCGTCAACAGCAACCTTGGGAAAATCCTCTGCATTATCATTAACAGCAGACTAGTTCATTTCCTCAGTGAAAACAATGTACTGAGAAAATGTCAAATTGGCTTTTTACCAAATTACCGTACGACAGACCACGTATTCACCCTGCACACCCTAATTGACAAACAAACAAACCAAAACAAAGGCAAAGTCTTCTCATGCTTTGTTGATTTCAAAAAAGCTTTTGACTCAATTTGGCATGAGGGTCTGCTATACAAATTGATGGAAAGTGGGATTTGGGGAAAAACATACGACATTATATAAAATCCATGTACACAAACAACAAGTTTGCAGTTAAAATTGACAAAAAACACAAACATGTCTTTCCACAGGGCCGTGGGGTGAGACAGGGATGCAGTTTAAGCCCCACCCTCTTCAACATATATATCAACGAATTGGCGAGGGCACTAGAACAGTCTGCAGCACCCGGCCTCACCCTACTAGAATCTGAAGTCAAATGTCTTCTGTTTGCTGATGATCTGGTGCTTCTGTCACCAACCAAGGAGGGCCTACAGCAGCACCTAGATCTTCTGCACAGATTCTGTCAGACCTGGGCCCTGACAGTAAATCTCAGTAAGACAAAAATAATGGTGTTCCAAAAAAGGTCCAGTTGCCAGGACCACAAATACAAATTCCATCTAGACACCGTTGCCCTAGAGCACACAAAAAACTATACATACCTCTGCCTAAACATCAGCGCCACAGGTAACTTCCACAAAGCTGTGAACGATCTGAGAGACAAGGCAAGAAGGGCCTTCTATGCCATCAAAAGGAACGTAAAATTTGACATACCAATTAGGATCTGGCTAAAAATACTTGAATCAGTTATAGAACCCATTGCCCTTTATGGTTCTGAGGTCTGGGGTCCGCTCACCAACCAAGAATTCACAAAATGGGACAAACACCAAATGAGACTCTGCATGCAGAATTCTGCAAAAAAACATCCTCTGTGTACAACGGAAAACACCAAATAATGCATGCAGAGCAGAATTAGGCCAATACCCGCTAATTATCAAAATCCAGAAAAGAGCCGTTAAATTCTATAACCACTTAAAAGGAAGCGATTCCCAAACCTTCCATAACAAAGCCATCACTGACTCACATCATTGAAATTGAAATTGAAATTGAATTGAGAGAGAGCGAGAGAGAGAGAGAGAGAGAGAGAGAGAGAGAGAGAGAGAGAGAGAGAGAGAGAGAGAGAGAGAGAGAGAGAGGAGAGAGATCAGAGCAGAAGAGAGAGCGTGAAAATTAGATCTGCCTCTTAGACAGAGAAGGACAGACAGAGCCAGACCACCAGCCAGTCAGTCTGAAAGCCTAGTAGCTGAGAGCTGTGGCTGTTGGCAGCATTGATTTCTGGGAGCTATAAGCTGCTGGTACACATGGCGTGGTGCTGCTGTTCTCTCCCTGCCTCCTCGTCCTCCTGCTGCTCTCTGCTCCTCAAACGCTGCCGTCTCTTCCCAGGTTGGTTCCACTTCACCCTGCCGTCTGTACCCACAGCCTGTAGCTGAGGCAAGTAGTGACATGAGAAGACAGGGAGCTGTAACTCTCTCCTTCAGACAGACACTGCCGCTGTAGCTATATCTATATGATATGGCTAACAGGCTATCCCATGAAGGTATAGTACAGTACAAGGCTTGGTGTGTCAGTGTGACGCTGTGTTAGGTGGTGTCTGATTGTGCTTGTTGTGTGTACTGTCGTGGCAGTCCTGTCATTATTATTGCTACTAAACTGTGTAGCTTGTTGTGTTCTGTGTCTCAGTGCAGGATAACGGATCAGTCAATCATTGTGTATTGTCTTGTCTTTATGCTTTGTCATGTGTAGAGAGTCTCTCTGCTATGTTCATAATATCACCACTATTATGACAAGGTCAAAAAGCATGAAGACAATTTTGACTGCAAGTGACTGTCAGCCGTGGCTTACCCTTACCACAGTTTTGTATACAATACACAAAGGCTTAACATTGTTTTGTTGTATTTAGAGGGCATGCTTGTTCTAGTCTGAATGTTCTCTCGTCTTACTGAGCTGTTGTCTCATGGGTAACGCTCAATATTGTGTGGGGTTGTTGGCTGATGATGTCAGTGCAGACGTGGCGTGTGGGCCATTGTGTGACCTCTCTGCTTCTTGCCATTGTGTTTCCCACCAACTGTCAACCCTTACCACAGCGTTTCCCAATCCTGGTCCTGGGGACCCGAGGGACTGCACGTTTTTGGTTTTGCCCTAGCACTACACATCTAAAACTAATAATCAACTCATCATCAAGCTTTGATCATTTGAACGAGGTGTGTAGTGCTGGTAGCTGTCTCGAGCTCAGGGTCGCTGGAGACGCTATAAGTGCTAGGGCAAAAACAAACATTTGCACCCCTTGGGGTCCCCAGGGCCAGGATTGGGAAACACTGTCTTACGATGTCTGATGGCTAGCTGCTTTTCTTGTAAAGACGATACATCTGTTCACTGTTTGCTGTTTGGTCCCAAATGTTTGTGATACAACAACGTTTTCAACACAATGTGTCCTTCCTTGTGTCCTTCCCTTCATCACAGTATTGATGGAGATATAAGGAGAGGAAGCCACTTTAGACTATTGACATACACCCCTTGATGGTGTTTAGCACTTCGTGTTACACTAATCTCCTTCCCCCTTCCCTGACATTTACTGATGTGTGTGTCGCACTAATCTCCTTCCCCCTCCCTCCCTCCCAGACATTTACTGATGTGTGTGTCCCACTAATATCATTCCTCCCTCCCAGACATTTACTGATGTGTGTTACACTCATTTCCTTCCCCCTCCCAGACATTGGGTGCGTTCCTCTGCCCAGGCATTGCTGTCGCATGTCAGATCTTACCATGCCTGGACAGGCATTTTATTTATCAGCTAACCACATCATATGTTTTAGCAATCTGGTGCCCGGCAGCACAGTTGATGACATGGCATGCAACCATTGGTTGATACATGCAACGTCTGATCAGGGGAGCGTGACCATATACTGATGTGTGTCACACTTATCTCCTTCCCCCCTCCCAGACATCTTCCCTGCTGAGCTGGATGCACTATGGAGGGAACCACCGTACACGCTAGCAGGAGCCAATGAGCACTTCCCAGGAAATGATCTTCTGAATCCAGGTAAGTACAGTAAAAGCCTTAAAACGTTCGATGACACAAAACATCCAGCTGATTCTATCCCAATTATGTTCCTCCTTCCAAGTCCTGCATTACTTATATTGCCCAGACAAATGTTGAGTTTGAATGTTTCTGGATTTGTACTGTAGCAAACAATGAAACATTGTATTATGCAGTAGCCTCAACAACACAATAGTGGTCATTTAAGCTGGAGGATTCTTTCAGGCTGTTGTGTCGTACCACCGTTCACTGGTCACCGGTCAGTCCCAGGTTGAGGAAGTGTTGGGGGCATTCTCTCGGTACAATGGGACAACAACATAGGGAAGCCAGCTCAGCTGCTCATAAAGCCTGTGTTTTTGTGTGTTTTTGTGTGTTTCTGTGTGTTTCTGTGTGTGTGTGTGTGCGCGCACACGTGCACACGTGTGTGTGTCACACAACACCGGGGAATCCGCCACAGGTCACAAAGCCCTGTCAGGACAACCAGAGCAACTCATTGTATTGTAATAGACCATCTGTGAGATGCAGTATATTATTAGATGTGTGGGCTATGATAGACTCTTCATGTCCTGTCGATGTTCTGGAGGAAACCGACTAATCACTATTGAAAACCTCATCAGCTGGATCACAGAATATACTGTACACAAGCAGTCATATAACTTTTAGTGTGAATGTTCCCTCATACAGTGACAGAGACAAACCTCCAATTCGGTCACTTTGTCTGGTTACCTTGACTGGTTTGCATTCCAGAAGGATAGACGATGAAGCGATGTGGTCTCCATTCCCCCTTCATAGTTGTCACAAAACAAGGTTGATCGATGATCTTGCACGTACTTACAGAGCAACTGTCTCATCCCGTTCCTTCCTGAGGGTTGATCTGACCTGACCTCTGTTTCCTGTCTTCTCCAGGGGTGGAGGGGGAGGAGGGGCCAGGGGTGGAGTCTGGGGATGGGGAGGCGGAGCCGGACAGTTACTGGAAGAGGAAGGAGGTGTTCACCAGAGGAAGCACCGTGTCACTGGCCGTGGGAGAGAGGTTCTCCTCAGGTACTGTTCTACTCACAGATACTGTCTATGGATGTGTTCCAAATTGCACCCTAATACCTGTATAGGGTGCTACCTTTGACCCATAGGATGCTATTTAGGACAGCCAGGGTGTTTCTCTCTCTAGTCCTACTATGGATGTGCTAACTGCTAATGTAGTGGTGTTAACAGCTGTTGGTCATGGTTGTGTGGTGTGATGCTTATTGTGGATCTGTTTGTGTCGTGTTGTTGACGCTATCATTAAATCTCTATTGTATCCTGTCTCTATTCTATACAGTAGTCTACATGATGTGCCTATCACTTTATATGATCACTTTATCATTCATTCTTGCTGTTTGGGGTTTTAGTCAGGGTTTCTGTATAGCACTTTGTGACATCTGCTGGTTTAAAAAGGGCTTTATAAATAAATGTGATTGAATTTGATTGATGTTGTCTGTATGTATGTCAACATCCTGCAACAAAACTGACCTTTGGGAATAATGACTCCTCATCTTCCCTTGATGTTAACGTTACAGTAGACACAGCTACTTAGCTAGTCTATGATACTCTGTGTCTTTCCTCCAGCAGGTTCCAGTGTAGCTCTCTCCCAAATGGACCTAATGTTAAAAGGTCCCTTTAAACGTCCACTAAGAGTCACTCAAGGCTGCAATAGCTCTGTTATTCCTACAGTCTAACACCGAGACACTCAGCAGCTCTGTTATTCCTACAGTCTAACACTGAGACACTCAGCAGCTGCTGTGTAATATGAGCTCACTGAGCATGGCTCTACAATACACTCACTGAGCATGGCTCTACAATACACTCACTGAGCATGGCTCTACAATACACTCACTGAGCATGGCTCTACAATACACTCACTTAGCATGGCTCTACAATACACTCACTGAGCATGGCTCTACAATACACTCACTTAGCATGGCTCTACAATACACTCACTGAGCATGGCTCTACAATACACTCACTGAGCATGGCTCTACAATACACTCACTGAGCATGGCTCTACAATACACTCACTGAGCATGGCTCTACAATACACTCACTGAGCATGGCTCTACAATACACTCACTGAGCATGGCTCTACAATACACTCACTTAGCATGGCTCTGTAATACACTCACTGAGCATGGCTCTACAATACACTCACTTAGCATGGCTCTATAATACACTCACTGAGCATGGCTCTACAATACACTCACTTAGCATGGCTCTGTAATACACTCACTGAGCATGGCTCTACAATACACTCACTGAGCATGGCTCTACAATACACTCACTTAGCATGGCTCTGTAATACACTCACTGAGCATGGCTCTACAATACACTCACTTAGCATGGCTCTGTAATACACTCACTGAGCATGGCTCTACAATACACTCACTTAGCATGGCTCTGTAATATACTCACTGAGCATGGCTCTACAATACACTCACTTAGCATGGCTCTACAATAAACTCACTTAGCATGGCTCTGTAATACACTCACTGAGCATGGCTCTACAATACACTCACTTAGCATGACTCTGTAATACACTCACTGAGCATGGCTCTACAATACACTCACTGAGCATGGCTCTACAATACACTCACTTAGCATGGCTCTACAATAAACTCACTTAGCATGGCTCTGTAATACACTCACTGAGCATGGCTCTACAATACACTCACTTAGCATGACTCTGTAATACACTCACTGAGCATGGCTCTACAATACACTCACTTAGCATGACTCTGTAATACACTCACTTAGCATGGCTCTATAAACGCTCACTGAGCATGACTCTGTAATACACTCACTGAGCATGGCTCTACAATACACTCACTGAGCATGGTTCTATAATGCACTCACTTAGCATGGCTCTGTAATACACTCAATTAGCATGGCTATATAATACACTTACCTTCTGGGAGAATTTACTCCTAAACAGTTTTACCTCTGCATGTTGATGTCTACATGACAATATCACAGTATCAGTCAATACGCCTACCGGTGATCTCGAGACTGACAGTGTGTGCGTGTGTGTAGACGTGGTGTTGGTGTTCAGCGGTCGGCGGCGCTCAGGTGTAATACCTGACTCTGAACTACAGGAGGCGCTCCGTACCAGACTCAGGGTCGTCGAGAGCAACAGTCAGGATGTCATCCAGCTCTTCAAGGTTAGTCACAGGTCATAGGTCAGGGGTTAGAGGTCAAGGCATGCCAGCATGCCAAAACAGATGATCCCGCCTAGACCAGAGGTGCAGTTCCAACCGTTGTCCTGCTAAAAGTTGTTTCTCCCTGATGTAGGGGCTAGGGGTTGGTATAGCATAAAGGTGACCTTCTCTGCATCCTCGCTGTTCCTTCATTACATTTACATTACATTTTAGTCATTTAGCAGACGCTCTTATCCAGAGCGACTTACAGTTAGTGAATACATATTTTTTTATACTGGCCCCCCGTGGGAATCGAACCCACAACCCTGGCGTTGCAAACACCATGCTCTATCAACTGAGCTACATCCCTGCCGGCCATTCCCTCCCCTACCCTGGACAACGCTGGGCCAATTGTGCGCCGCCCATGAGTCTCCCGGTCGCGGCCTCTTCATCAATGTCTTTGGTTCTTCTGCCTCCCTACAGGACCTGTCTGCCCGTCTGCTGTCTGTCCACGCTGAGAAGGACAGCTTTGTCATCACCTTTAAGACTGTAGAGGAGATCTGGAAGTTCTCTACCTACCTGGCTCTAGGTATGCTGTCCTATCCTAGTCTACCTGACCTGGATGAAACTCTCATTAACACAGTCTGATGGCTGATTATTTTGTCCGGTCTGGTTAGAAGTTGCAAATAGGCACAGATCTAGGATCAGCGTCCCACACCCAATCCTAACCTAAACCATCGACGTGGAAAAAAACAGACCTTGCATCAGGATGTAGGGACAACTTCATCTTACTTTGTTGTGTGTCGAGGCTATGTGGCGTGGTGAACCTTATGAACACCATAGGCCATGTTATAAATACCTTATGACATGTTATGAACTTATGTTGTCTCTTTTTTATGTCCAGGTTATGTGGCGCGGTGCCTGGAGAATTTCCTGTGTGACCAGTCATTCTGGCTGGACACTGAGCTGCTGAGGGACCTGGAGATCACTGTGACTGTAGATGAGGAACACCTGGCCACACTCTACCTGGGACTGCTGCTGCAGGAGGGTGAACGAACACCTTATGAACTCTTTATGAACACCTTATGAACACCTTATGACATGCTATAACATCTTATGAACTCTTTATAGACATCTTATGAACAGTTTACAAACTATTAATGGACATGTTATGAAGACCTTATAAACTCTATGAACTCCTTATATGCTCTACTTTCTTGACCCTCATCATCAACATCAGTTTACATCACACTCTCCTCAGAGCAGTACAGAAGCATAAAAGGTCAACTTATTATTCAACCACTGAACTGAAAGGACATTTTTATGGTATTTCAGAACAAGTTGTTCCAGATACCTAGACATGAAATGCAGCTCAACTTATCCAGGCTCTGTCGTAGCCGGCCGTGACCGGGAGACCCATGGGGCGGCGCGCAATTGGCCCAGCGTCGTCCAGGGTAGGGGAGGGAATGGCCGGTAGGGATGTAGCTCAGTTGATAGAGCATGGTGTTTGCAACGCCAGGGTTGTGGGTTCGATTCCCACAGGGGGTATGAAAAAATAAATAATGTAAGTCGCTCTGGATAAGAGCGTCTGCTAAATGACGTAAACGTAAACTTAAACTGATGACATGTTCTGAAATGTCCAGAGATAGAGTAAAACAGCAAAACAATGACAGTGCCCTTATTCACTCTCTGCCCAAAGATGGATGTTCTATACAGTTTGTCACCCATTAGCTTAATGTCATTTAGATTGCTATTGTCCTACCCAGCATTTACATTGCAGACATAATGTTTTAAGAGGAAGTACTATTCTCCCTAATACCTGAGAGGAATCAATAGCCAGTGAAAGAAAGGCGTGTGTGTGTTGAGAATGGATTTTTAAAACAATATTCTGGGAAGCAGGACAGAGCCTCAGTTCCATGAAAAGATCCCTTTAGTTCAGTCAAATGTTCATTCTTTACAGAAATCCCCCTGTGTGTGTGTGTGTGTGTATGTGTGTTGTTCTTTGCGTGTTATTCACCTGTATGTATCTCTCTCCCTCAGGTTTGTTCTTTGCCAAGGCGCTGGTGAGCAGTTGCGAGCATAGTGAGGAGGAGGAGGAGTTGTGTTTCAGATGTAACGACTTGCTGATGGTTAGAGACACGGGGCAGGACAGTCACTGGGAGGGCACCCTTCTCTCCACCGGGCAACACGGACTAGTGCCTGTCAACACCATGCAGCCGCTGCCATACCCCTTCTACCAGTGAGCTACCTAGTCCCTACCCCCTAACCCATACCCCTTCTACCAGTGAGCTACCTAGTCCCTACCCCCTAACCCATACCCCTTCAGTGAGCTACCTAGTCCCTACCCCCTAACCCATACCCCTTCTACCAGTGAATTACCTAGTCCATGCCCCCTAACCCATACCCCTTCTACCAGTGAATTACCTAGTCCCTACCCCCTAACCCATACCCCTTCTACCAGTGAATTACCTAGTCCATGCCCCCTAACCCATACCCCTTCTACCAGTGAGATACCTAGTCCCTACCCCCTAACCCATACCCCTTCTACCAGTGAATTACCTAGTCCCTACCCCCTAACCCATACCCCTTCTACCAGTGAGCTACCTAGTCCCTACCCCCTAACCCATATCCCTTCTACCAGTGAGCTACCTAGTCCCTACCCCCTATCCCATACCCCTTCTACCAGTGAGCTACCTAGTCCCTACCCCCTAACCCATACCCCTTCTACCAGTGATTTACCTAGTCCATACCCCCTATCCCATACCCCTTCTACCAGTGAGCTACCTAGTCCCTACCCCCCTAACCCATACCCCTTCTACCAGTGAGCTACCTAGTCCCTACCCCCTAACCCATACCCCTTCTACCAGTGAATTACCTAGTCCCTACCCCCCTAACCCATACCCCTTCTACCAGTGAGCTACCTAGTCCCTACCCCCTAACCCATATCCCTTCTACCAGTGAGCTACCTAGTCCCTACCCCCTATCCCATACCCCTTCTACCAGTGAGCTACCTAGTCCCTACCCCCTAACCCATACCCCTTCTACCAGTGATTTACCTAGTCCATACCCCCTATCCCATACCCCTTCTACCAGTGAGCTACCTAGTCCCTACCCCCTAACCCATACCCCTTCTACCAGTGAGCTACCTAGTCCCTACCCCCTAACCCATACCCCTTCTACCAGTGAATTACCTAGTCCCTACCCCCTAACCCTTACCCCTTCTACCAGTGAATTACCTAGCACCCTACCCCCTTACCCATACCCCTTCTGCCAGTGAATTACCTAGTCCCTACCCCCTTACCCATACCCCTTCTACCATTGAATTACCTAGTCCCTACCCCCTTATCCATACCCCTTCTACCATTGAATTACCTAGTCCCTACCCCCTTACACATACCCCTTCTACCATTGAATTACCTAGTCCCTACCCCCTTACCCATACCCCTTCTAACAGTGAATTACCTATTTCCTACCCCATAACCCATACCCCCTTTACCAGTAAGTCACATTACATCATATGCTGTTTGTTCAGCTTATAACATGACACAGTGACATATTTCCTCTCACCTCATATTTTGTAAGGAAATATGGCAGCTATTTTGTGCCAAGCTGATGTGTTTCCTGTTTGTGTAGGTGGTTCCTGAGGAAGTACCCTGGCTGTGCCGGATGCTCCCCTTCAGACAGAGGACAGTTTAACCCTAACCCCAAACCTTACCCTTCAGAAACAGAACAGTTTGACCACCCTATAGGTGAGGCCCTAACCCTAACCCTAACCTTAACCTTAACCCTAACCCTAACCCTAACCCTAACCCTAACCCTAACCCTTCAGACACAGGACAGTTTGACCACCCTATAGTGAGGCCCTAACCCTAACCCTAACCCTTCAGAAACAGAACAGTTTAACCACCCTATATGTGAGAACCTAACTCTAACGCTAATGCTAACCCTAACCCTAACCCTAACCCTAACCCTAACCCTTCAGAAACAGGACAGTTTGACAACTGTTTATGTGAGGCCCTAACCCTAACGCTAACCCTAACGCTAACCCCTTATCTCCAGAGTGGCGCAGTGGTCTAAGGCACTGTTTCGCAGTGCTAGCTGTGCCACTAGAGATCCTGGTTCGAATCCAGGCTCTGCTGTAGCCGGCCGCAACCGGGAGACCAATGGGGCGGCGCACAATTCGTCCAGGGTAGGGGAGGGAATGGCCGGCAGGGAGGTAGCTCAGTTGGTAGATCATGGCGTTTGCAACGCCAGGGTTGTGGGTTCGATTCCCACGAGGGGCCAGTATGAAAATAAAAACCTTTCAGAAGAAGGACAGTTTGACCACCCTATATGTGAGGCCCTAACACTAACGCTAACCCTAACCTTAACCCTAAGCCTTCAGAAACAGGACAGTTTGACCACCCTATATGTTAAGTCCTAACCCTAATGCTAACCTTAATCCTAACCCTCAACCTTCAGAAACAGGACATTTTGACCACCCTATGTGTGAACCCTTACCTTAACCTAACCCTTACCTTAACCTAACCTTCACATTAACCTAACCATTAACTTAACCTAACCCTTACCTTGACCTAACCTAACCCTTACTTTAACCTAACCTAACCCTTACCTTAACCTAACCCTTACCTTAACCTAATCCTTACCTTAACCTAACTCTTACCTTAACCTAACCCTTACCTTAACCTAACCCTTACCTTAACCTAACCCTTACCTTAACCTAATCCTTACCTTACCTTACCTTAACCCTTACCTTAACCTAACCCTTATCTTAACCTAACCCTTACCTTAACCTAACCCTTACCTTAATCTTAACCCTAACCCCACCGGCCTAAATGAGATTGCCTAAATCCATTTGTGGATCTTACCTTAACCCCCAGTCCTTATCCTTACCGTTAACCACTAGCCCCTAATTCCTAAATTTTTCTCCCAGCCCTTATTCTAACCTTAATACCCATCCCCTATCCTCTCCCAAAATTCTGCTCATCGTTTGGACCTTGGCCCCTGGTCTCTAATTCCCAGTCTTGAATCCCTGGTTCTCAACCCTAGTTTTATTTTAAATCCTTTTTAGTTATTGAAGTATTTTTATATAAGTCTAACCATTTAATATAAAAGTTTTGCCTATGCCAGTGCACATCAGATTCGTCTGTTCTTTAATTAACCTAACCCTAACCCTAACCCTAACTCAAAGCCTTCAGAAACAGGACATTTTGACCACCCTATATGTGAGGCCCTAACCCTAACCCTAACCCTAACCCTAACCTAAACCCTAACCCTTCAGAAACAGGAAAGTTTGACCACCCTATATGTGAGGCCCTAATCATAACGCTAACCCTAACGCTAACCCTAACCCTAACCTTAACCTTAACCCTAACCCTAACCCTAACCCTAACCCTAACCCTATCCCTAATCCTAACCCTAACCCTAACCCTAACCCTAACCCTAACCCTAAGCCTTCAGAAACAGGACATTTTGACCACCCTATAGGTTATGCCCTAACCCTAACCCTTCAGAAACAGGACATGTTGACCACCCTATAGGTTTTGACCCTAACCCTAACCCTATCCCTAACTCTAACCCTTCAGAAACAGGACAGTTTGACCACCCTATAGGTGAGGACAGGAACCTTCTACCTACGCCTCATAGGCCAGTGTTCAATACAAATACTAGGCATTTCCTCCAACTCCCTCTCCTCTCCCCTCCCCCTGCAGTAACTGGTTCCTGTGAGGCTGTAGTTGACCATAACACAGTAGGTTCTGATGAGCTCCAGCTGAGTCGAGGTGACCTGATTGAGATACAGGGGATGCTACTCCGAGGTCTTGACCTGTTCATAGGAACACACTGCTCTACAGGACACACCGGCTTTGTACACAAGGCTCACGTCAAGCCACTCAACGTCAAACCACTGTAAGAGCAATACATTTACATTTTAAATGTAGACAGAGAAGAGAAGAGCTTGGACTGGGCTGAGCGGGAGCTGCCCTCCCATAGGGGTGGGAGGGCCAAAAGACCAGAGGTGGTAGAACGGAGTGCTCAGGTTGGGGTGTAGGGTTTGAGCACAGGGAGGGGCAGTTCCTCTTGCTGCTCCGTAGTCAAGTACCATGGTCTTGTAGTGGATGTGAGCTTCGGCTGGAAGCCAGAGTAGTGTGCTGGAAGAGCGAGGTGACATGGGAGAACTTGGGAATGTTGAAAACCAGGCGATCTGCAGCATTCTGGATAAGTTGCAGGGGTTTGATGGCATTAGAGCATTGCAATACCAAACCACTGTAAGAGCTATACATAACAGCATTACAATACCAAAACATGTTTTTATTCACCCCTCAACTCTTTCCAGTCTTCTAGGAGCAGTTAAGACAGTGGACAGTGTGTGATGTTTTCTGTTCACATTTACTTGGTCTATCTGTTTATCTGTTGTCAATAGTAGAGGCTTCGGATGGAGGGTTTGAGGGGTGGTTGAGAGCAGACTCATGTGGGCGATAATGCTTTCTTTGTCTCTCTCCCCCTCCATCTCTCTGCCCTCTCTCTACTCTCTCACTCTCTCTCTCTCCCTCCCTCTCAGAGATGGACAACTTGTGTTTCTGAGTGAGGAGGAGCGTGCGTCTCTGTCCCAGGTTAACCCCTGCAGTACTGAACCCATAGACAGCGGCTTGCTAGAGAGGCTCTTCTCCTCTGACATCAGTGCTGTCTACAGACTTGGTAGGAGAGGATCCCTCAGTCTATACAGTATAGGGAATTACTGAGTACTGTCAGACTTCTGTAGTAGGGAACCACTGTGTTATACTGAGCACTGTCAGACTACTGTAGTAGGGAACCACTGTGTTATACTGAGTACTGTAAGATTACTGTAGGCAGGGAACCACTGTGTTATACTGAGTACTGTAAGATTACTGTAGGCAGGGAACCACTGTGTTATACTGAGTACTGTCAGACTACTGTTTTCTTCCCACAGATAGACTGGATCAGTCTGACTTAACGTACATCAGAAACCTACCTAAACAAGGTTAGTAATATGTTATCTAATAACAAGGTAATAAAATGTTTATCAAAGTTAATACGTTGTTTATCAGATTCTTAATATAGCCTCAGCTGAATGGTAGAGGATTGTTTAAAGGCCAATATTTCCTTCTGTCTCAGTCAAAGCCAAGAACATTTTCTCCTGACAGCTGTAGATGTTTTGGAAACAACATAAACAACAGGGAACTCTATACATAGTCAAACTCTTTACTTTTCTTCCCTGTTTAGTAGGAGAGAGGGAAACCAATAATGTTTCAGTTTTTGCATACATGACATTTTACAAGGAGAGATATTTTATTATTTAGTTGAAAAGGCAGTATACACATTGCAGCACCAAGCTGAACTGCTAGTACAATTTACTTTGACAGTCAAGGAAGTTTCATAGCTACATTTCTAATGCAGTTTACTTGAACAACGTACAGTACATGGAGTTTCATATACAGTGTATCTAAACCCTTACACTCAGTGTTCATATCTTTCTCTCTCAGAGCATAAGCCCCACGCCAGCGCCCGGCAGTCCATCATCTCAGAGAAGAGCAACGCTACACCCCGCTACCACTCCTCCCCCCGCCCCTCCCTCTCTCACTCCTCGCCCTGCCCCTCCTTCTACGCCTCCCAGAATGCTTTAGGGCGTGGCGGTGACGGGGAGCTGCTGTCCTTCAGTCTGGACGACACCTTCAGAGCGATGAACGAGTTCCAGGAAGACCCGCCCCTTTTCCTGGAGGAGGGGAGCTGGGAGGTGGAGGAGTCGGAGGTCTGTGACCCAACCTTGACCCTGCTCAACGTGCATCACTTTCAGGTGAGAGGTCACAGGGCCACTGTTTTGAAATTGAAGGGATTTAGACGCGTCTGGTTTATTCAGTTCACTTGTGTGTTTGTTTATTCATTGATTCAAGCACTGTTGATTGGCAATAAAGTACTATAAGCAATATATCCTCTCCTCTCCTCTCCTCTCCTCTCCTCTCCTCTCCTCTCCTCTCCTCTCCTCTCCTCTCCTCTCCTCTCCTCTCCTCTCCTCTCCTCTCCTCTCCTCTCCTCTCCTCTCCTCTCCTCTCCTCTCCTCTCCTCTCCTCTCCTCTCCTCTCCTCCAGGAGGACTTCCTGCCCCTGTATGACCTCCACCACTCCTTCCTGTGGCTGACGTTCTCAGGACAGAGTGAGGAGGAGTTACTGGGCCACCTGGAGATTGTCAGGGAAGGGGCCAAGAGAACGGGCATGGCCTGGGCACAACGACGGGCATGCTTCCTACTGGGGAGGCTCTGCGCCAAGAAGCTCAAGTACTCCCAGGTAGGGTAGAAGGGAGGAACACTGGAGTACGCACACATATGGACACAGCACATACACACACACGTACAAACACACACATTTATGCATGCATGCACTCACACACACAAACACACATGCATAATATGAGTGTGCTCTTAAATTTACTTCAAGGTCCTTCTCCCACCCCTCTGTCCCAGGCCCGTGTGTATTACGAGGAAGCACTTGGCATCTCTGTCGACGGTTTCTCTGACCTCCCTCTCCTCATCGCCCTGTACATCAACCTCACAGCCGTCTACCTCAAACAGAAGATGGCCGACAAGCTGCCCCCGACCCTGGAGAAGGCCAGTGCTTTGCTTCTCTGCCTCCCCAGCCACACCTTCACCTCCCTGGATGAGTTTGAGCTGCTGAAGCTGGTGCTGCAGAGGTCTGTGGTGGAGGAGGACAAACACCTGGAGGCACGGGCCTGCTACCTCACCGCCAGCCTCTTCCTCCTCCTTAGGTTGGTGTTGTCTGTGTTGTCAATGCTCCCAAATGGAATCCTATTCCCTATATATTGCACTACTTTTGACCAGGTCCCATAGTGCTCTGGTCAAAAGTAGTGCACTATATAGGACATTTGGGTGCCATTTGGGACGTAGCCTATGTCCCTTGTTTTTATATATTTTTAATACACACACTGTATCACTTTTATGTGATTTTTGTACAATATAAAGTTTGTTATAAATCAAATATATAATTATTATAATTATTACTACAATTATTAATATAGAAAGATAGAGGACGCCTTGCCCTTCGTGGAGCGTCTCCAGTTCCTCACCGTTACCCTGTCTGCTGAGGAGGGACGCCCCATTACCCCCCTGGACCTCAACTGGCTCCTGTCCCGGCTCTACCACCGTAAATACATGCCCTACCTGGCCCTGGCATCACTCAGCCTGGACTCTGGACAGGACCACTCACTACAGGACGCCTTCCACAGGATAGAACTGTTCAGCAGGAACTCGGTAGGATATGGTTTGTTTGTTAGGCCATCACATTCTAATATTCCCAAAACAAATGACATATTGATACACAGTATACAACAGACTGGAAATAGACAAAATACAAACCAAAAAATGCAAAAAAACATATAATACTTAAAATGTTTTACATGTAAATGTTCCATAGGTGCGTTTGAACCCGAGATGGAAAGAGGGGACGTCTCTTCTCCCGGCCCAGATTGTGGTGTACCTGCAGCAGGCTCTGGCCATTGCGGAGCGGGGTGAGGACCTTAAGACCCAGAGAGACCTGTGTCTGGGCCTGGCCTGTGTGTACCAGCAACACGGGGCCCTGGAGAAGGCCCTGCCCTGTGCCCAGAAGGCTGTACAGACTGGGGGTGGTATCAACGAGGAGGAGGGGTTTGAGGCTTCAGTACTGCTGGGATGGTTGTTAGTCCTGACAGGACAGCCTGAGAGGGCACATAACACCCTGCAGCCACTACTACAGTCTCTACAGGTAACTACAGTCACTACAGCAGTGGTGTAAAGTACTTAAGTAAAAATACTTGAAAGTACTACTTAAGTAGTTTTTCTGGGTACTGGGTATCCGCAATTTACTTTTTATAGTTTTTGACTACTTTTACTTTTACGTCACTACATTCCTGAAGAAAATAATGTACTTTTTACTCCATACATTTTCCATGACACCCAGAAGTACTCGTTACATTCTGAGTGCTTAGCAGGACAGAAAAATTGTCCAATTCACACACTTATCAAGAGAACATCCCTAGTCATCCCTACTGCCTCTGAGCTGGTGGACTCACTAAACACACATGCTTAGTTTTTATACAGAACAAAAATATAAACGCAACATGCAACAATTTCAGAGATTTTACTGAGTTACAGTCAATTGAAATAAATTCATTAGGCCCTAATCTATGGATTTCACATGACTTTCACAAGCCCAGATAATCGGAATGAGTTTTTCCCCACAAAAGGGCTTTAGTACAGACATAAATACTCCTCAGCACCCCTCTTCCCCCTCCTCAGACAATCCCTCAGGTGAAGAAGCTGGATGTGGAGGTCCTGGGCTGGCGTGGTTACACGTGGTCTGCGGTTGTGAAGCTGGTTGGACGTACTGCCAAATTCTCTAAAACAACGTTGGAGTTGGCTTATGGTAGAGAAATAAACATGAAATTATCTGGCAACAGCTCTGGTGGACATTCCTGTAGTCAGCATGCCAATTGCACACTCCCTCAAAACTTGAGACATCTGTGTCATTGTGTTGTGTGACAAAACTGCACATTTTAGAGTGGCTTTTTATTGTCCCCAGCACAAGTTGCACCTGTGTAATGATCATGCTGTTTAATCAGCTTCTTGATGTGCCACACCTGTCAGGTGGATAGATTATCTTGGCAAAGGAGAAATGCTCACTAACAGGGATGTAAACAAATTTGTGCACAACATTTTAGATAAATAAGCTTTTTGTGCATATGGAACATTTCTGGGAGCTTTAATTTCAGCTCATGAAACATGGGACCAACACTTTCCATGTTGCGTTTATATTTTTGTTCAGTATAAATTATGTCTGAGTGTTGGAGTTTGCCCCTGGCTAGGCGTAAAAAAAACAACAACAAGAGAATGGTGCCGCCTGGTTTTCTTTATAGAAGGAATTTGAAATGATTTATACTTTTACTTTTGATACTTAAGTATATTTTAGCAATTACATTTACTTTAGATACTTAAGTATATTTAAAACCAAATACTTTTAGACTTTTACTCAAGTAGGATTTTACTGGGTGACTTTCACTTTAACTTAAGTAATTTTCTATTAAGGTATCTTTACTTTTACTCAAGTAGGACAATTGGGTACTTTTACACCACTGCACTACAGGTAACTACAGTCACTACAGGTAACTACAGGTAACTACAGTCACTACAGGTAACTACAGGTAACTACAGTCTCTACAGGTAACTACAGGTAACTACAGTCTCTACAGGTAACTACAGGTAACTACAGTCTCTACAGGTAACTACAGGTAACTACAGTCACTACAGGTAACTACAGGTAACTACAGTCTCTACAGGTAACTACAGGTAACTACAGTCTCTACAGGTAACTACAGGTAACTACAGTCACTACAGGTAACTACAGGTAACTACAGTCTCTACAGGTAACTACAGGTAACTACAGTCTCTACAGGTACTACAGGTAACTACAGGTAACTACAGTCTCTACAGGTAACTACAGGTAACTACAGTCTCTACAGGTAACTACAGTCTCTACAGGTAACTACAGGTAACTACAGTCTCTACAGGTAACTACAGGTAACTACAGGTAACTACAGTCTCTACAGGTAACTGCAGGTAACTACAGTCTCTACAGGTAACTACAGTCTCTACAGGTAACTACAGGTAACTACAGTCTCTACAGGTAACTACAGGTAACTACAGTCACTACAGGTAACTACAGGTAACTACAGTCTCTACAGGTAACTACAGGTAACTACAGTCTCTACAGGTAACTACAGGTAACTACAGTCTCTACAGGTAACTACAGGTAACTACAGTCACTACAGGTAACTACAGGTAACTACAGTCTCTACAGGTAACTACAGGTAACTACAGTCACTACAGGTAACTACAGGTAACTACAGTCACTACAGGTAACTACAGGTAACTACAGTCTCTACAGGTAACTACAGGTAACTACAGTCCTCTACAGGTAACTACAGGTAACTACAGTCTCTACAGGTAACTACAGGTAACTACAGTCACTACAGGTAACTACAGGTAACTACAGTCTCTACAGGTAACTACAGGTAACTACAGTCTCTACAGGTAACTACAGGTAACTACAGTCACTACAGGTAACTACAGGTAACTACAGTCTCTACAGGTAACTACAGGTAACTACAGTCTCTACAGGTACTACAGGTAACTACAGGTAACTACAGTCTCTACAGGTAACTACAGGTAACTACAGTCTCTACAGGTAACTACAGTCTCTACAGGTAACTACAGGTAACTACAGTCTCTACAGGTAACTACAGGTAACTACAGGTAACTACAGTCTCTACAGGTAACTGCAGGTAACTACAGTCTCTACAGGTAACTACAGTCTCTACAGGTAACTACAGGTAACTACAGTCTCTACAGGTAACTACAGGTAACTACAGTCTCTACAGGTAACTACAGGTAACTACAGTCTCTACAGGTAACTACAGGTAACTACAGTCTCTACAGGTAACTACAGTCTCTACAGGTAACTACAGTCTCTACAGGTAACTACAGTCTCTACAGGTAGCATTATAGACATCTCTATACTATTATGAGTATCATTACCATAGTCAACATTGACCCCTAGTCCCTACCCACTACGTACTTGTTTAGCTCTGAAAGAACTGGACCTAAGGTAACAGCTCTACCTTGCCACCTGGTAGGCTCATGTTACAGTTAAGGACTTGTAAAGATCTTGTAATCAATTAATCAATCAAACCTCTATCTCATCTCTTTCCTTGCAGGGAACCGATAGCCCGACCCAGAGGGGAGTGATCCACAACCTACTGGCTCTGTGTCTGCGGCGGCAGGGTCGCGTCCCCGAGGCCGGCAGCCACCTCCACCATGCCCTCACCATCTCCAGGGAGAGTGGCAACCAAAGGAACCAGGCCCTGGCCCTCGCCAACCTGGGCTGCCTGGCACTGTACGTGGGGGCACCCACACTGGCAGAACGATTCCTATTCAGGTCAGTAAGGAGGGAGAGTGTGGGGGCAGAGGGGGCAGTGGGTCAAAAGTCTTTGTGTGTGTGTTTGTGTGTTCGTGCGTGTGTGTGTACAGTAGGTGACTGCATATATGCGTGCGTGTTACGTTTGTAGTAATATCAATCCTTTCCTGGTTGGGTTAGTGTTAATGTCTGTATCTCTACATGGTTGTAGCCTGCTGAGTGGGACTGTATCTCTACATGGTTGTAGCCTGCTGAATGGGACTGGTCTGTATCTCTACATGGTTGTAGCCTGCTGAGTGGGACTGGTCTGTATCTCTACATGGTTGTAGCCTGCTGAGTGGGTCTGTATCTCTGCATGGTTGTAGCCTGCTGAGTGGGACTGGTCTGTATCTCTGCATGGTTGTAGCCTGCTGAGTGGGTCTGTATCTCTACATGGTTGTAGCCTGCTGAGTGGGACTGGTATGTATCTCTACATGGTTGTAGCCTGCTGAATGGGACTAGTCTGTATCTCTACATGGTTGTAGCCTGCTGAGTGGGACTGGTCTGTATCTCTGCATGGTTGTAGCCTGCTGAGTGGGACTGGTCTGTATCTTTGCATGGTTGTAGCCTGCTGAGTGGGTCTGTTTCTCTACATGGTTGTAGCCTGCTGAGTGGGACTGGTCTGTATCTCTATGGGCGGCAGGTAGTCTAGTGGGTAAGAGCGTTGTGCCAGTAACCGAAAGGTCGCTGGTTCTAATCCCTGAGCCGACTAGGTGAAAAATCTGTCGATGTGCCCTTGAGCAAGGCACTTAACCCTAATTGCTCCTGTAAGTCGCTCTGGATAAGAGCGTCTGCTAAATGACTAAAATGTAATGTACATGGTTGTAGCCTGCTGAATGGGACTGCTCTGTATCTCTACATGGTTGTAGCCTGCTGAGTGGGACTGGTCTGTATCTCTACATGGTTGTAGCCTGCTGAATGAGAAAGACTGTTTCCTACTGTATATCCCTCAGGTCACTGTGGTTGTTCCTGGAGATCTGGGAGAGTCCCGTTGACGAGGAGCACGTCCAGACCTACCTATGGCTGGGGCGGAGCTACAAGGACAGGGGGAGGAGCCAGGACGTCAGGCTGTGCTATGAGATGGGCCTCCTCATCTCCCTCCAGGCCAGGAACCTACCCAGTGAGTTACCTTAACCCTAACCCTAACCTTCCACACCAGGAACCAACCCAGTGAATAACACTGTCAAAACTAACCCTAACCCGAAACCTAAACCTAACCTTAATGCTAGTTCAACTAAACTATGAAAGACAACAACCAATCACAATAAAGTAAATCAAAAGTAGATACTATCTGAACTTGTGTCTCTGTCCTCTGTCCTCTTGTGTCTCTGTCCTCTGTCTTCTGTCCTCTGTCCTCTTCTGTCTCTGTCCACTGTCTTCTGTCCTCTGTCCTCTTGTGTCTCTGTCCTCTGTCCTCTTGTCTGTCCTCTGTCCTCTTGTGTCTCTGTCCTCTTGTGTCTCTGTCCTCTTGTGTCTCTGTCCTCTGTCCTGTTGTGTCCTCTGTCATCTGTCCTGTTGTGTCTCTGTCCTCTTGTGTCTCTGTCCTCTGTCTTCTGTCCTCTGTCCTCTTGTGTCTCTCTCTCTAGGTCAGATGGTGGTGGCTAAAGTCCTGAGTCGTCACTATGGTGATGTGCTGCTGTATGGGCAGAGTATCCTCTACTATGAGCACTGTGTGTCTGTGTCCAGGGACCTGAAGGACAAGAGACTAGAGGGAGAATATCTAGAGATCCTCAGCAGCCTCTACCTCTCCCTCAATACTGAGAAGTAGGTTAATATATCTCTGTCTGTCTCTACCTCTCCCTCAATACTGAGTAGGTTAATATATCTCTGTCTGTCTCTACCTCTCCCTCAATACTGAGAAGTAGGTTAATATATCTCTGTCTGTCTCTACCTCTCCCTCAATACTGAGTAGGTTAATATATCTCTGTCTGTCTCTACCTCTCCCTCAATACTGAGTAGGTTAATATATCTCTGTCTGTCTCTACCTCTCCCTCAATACTGAGTAGGTTAATATATCTCTGTCTGTCTCTACCTCTCCCTCAATACTGAGTAGGTTAATATATCTCTGTCTGTCTCTACCTCTCCCTCAATACTGAGAAGTAGGTTTATATATCTCTGTCTGTCTCTACCTCTCCCTCAATACTGAGAAGTAGGTTTATATATCTCTGTCTGTCTCTACCTCTCCCTCAATACTGAGTAGGTTAATATATCTCTGTCTGTCTCTACCTCTCCCTCAAAACTGAGAAGTAAGTTTACCTCTCTGTCTCAATTTTGATCTCTCTCTCTGTCTTTCCCTCTGTGTCTCTATCTCTCTCTCCCTATCAACACTGCAAAGCAACTGCTTTTGATTGAATTACTGTTTTGCTATTCTCAGGTCATCGAGGAAGTCACTGGACTACACTAAGCACAGTCTGAGGATTAATAAAGTTATTCAATTCAAACAGATCATCAAGGAAATCTCTGGACTACAGTAAGCAGAGTCTGCGTATCTCCATCGACCTGGGGAAGAGAGAGGAGGAGTCAGAGACCTGGCTTCAGGTGGGGCGTATCTACTATCTCATCCACGAAGACGAACTGGCTGACATGTACCTACAGGTGAGTTCAGAGAGAGAGGGGGATGAGAGGGGAGAGGGAGAGAGAGAGAGAGAGAGAGAGAGAGAGAGAGAGAGAGAGAGAGAGATGATAGTCGAGATAGAGAGAGAGAGAGAGAGAGAGAGAGGAGAGAGAGAGAGAGAGAGAGAGAGATCTACACTACCTCATCCATGAAGACCAATTTGCTGACAGGACCCCTCTCTGAGGGGGAGGGAGGAGAAGAAGAGCAGGCAAGGAGAGTGAAAGATAGAAGAGGAAAGAAAAAGGGAAGTAGATTAGTGTTCTTATGTATGCCTGCAGAAACCTTATGGACTCTTATCAGTCAACAACCACAGCGATAACCATCTACTCCCCATACCTGACCTATAATCACACTGGATCATATCATCTTCATATGATGTCACAATCTGTCTCTCTTTAAACCTTGTTTACAACATCCTACGTTGCATGACCCAAATGCCAAACAACAAGGTAAGAGTTTAATGAATTATATGTCCCATGTTATAGTACTGCTCCTTTGACCATACGAGAAGTTCCCTCACAGTATCGGATCAATAAGGTGATGGATTGATTATGGATTGATTCTGATTGATTGCCAGGCAGCAGTGAAGACAGCCCTGAGGATGAACGACCCTCGCTTTTCCATGAATATCTATGAGGAGGCAGGAGACGTCTTCTTCAAAGGCCACAGGAACAGACTGGCATCACTGCCCTTCTACAGGGTATGGATAAGGGGATTTTATTGAATTGAATTTACTTAATTGATCACCAGAGGAGGAAATTAGGTGTCGATCTACTCTGTGAGATTGCAGATTGTTATGACTTATTGGTAACATTTATTTCAAAGTTACTTTCTGTATAATAGTTTTAGTTCAATTGGAAATGTACACACATTTATAACAGGCTTGTCTTTATACCCTGGCCTGAGCCTGTTAATAACACCAGTGGTTCTCTGCTCTTGTTTTAGGACGGCAGTCTCCCGTTTGCTCGAAGCATCCGTGACGTCGACTCAGAGTTCAGACTGCTGAGTAAACTGACTGAACTACTGATGACCCAGGAAGAACACGAAGAGGCTCTACAGTACGCCATTCTGGCTGTACAGATCAGTACCAAAACAGGTACTGTAGGAGGGAGGGACAGAATTCAATTTCCACTTTTATGACCTGGACCGGGATTTGAAGCAGCAACCCTTCGGCTTCCAGCTACTAGTCTGCTTCCTCTAACCAGGACTACCAATCTTGGTTTGAATCTATTCATTCCATTCATGTAGATAACCATCCTGCTATGTTATTGTCCTCCAGGTGTGGTTGTGAACGAGCGGGCAGCGTACCACCGTCTGGCTACAGTGTACTACAGTCTGGAGCAGTATGAGATGACAGAGAACTACTACCTCAAGTCTCTGTCTCTCAGCCCTGCTGTACTGCAGCACCCCCTGGAGGCTAGATACTACACCAAGCTGTACTGCAGGCTGGGGGACATGACGCTGTACAAACGAAAGGTTCAGAAGTACTGCTGATTTTCTTTACGATCGGGTAGTTAATTAATCTGTATAGGCTTTCCAGTTTAATAGCACTATATTATGTGTGAGAGAGAGACAGAGAGAAGGAGAGAGAGAAATTATTTATTTATTTATTTAGAAATAGTAACAAATCCTTTTACACTTTTAATGAATACATTAACTAAAAGGCCAACGATTCCCAACACCTCTGTTCTCCTACTCTCCCCCCCTGCCCTCCTCTCCTCTATCTCCCCCCCGCCCTCCTCTCCTCCATCGCCCCCCTGCCCTCCCCTCCCCTCCTCTCCTCTCCTCCACCCCCCGCCCTCCTCCATCTCCCCCCGCCCACCTCTCCTCCATCTCCCCCCGCCCTCCTCCATCTCCCCCCTCCTCTCCTCCATCCCCCCTACTCTGCTCCACCCCCCCCTCCCCATTCCTCTCCCCAGGATGCCTATGACTCGGTGGGCTACTACCAGCTGGCTCAGGCTGCTGCCCTGGAGGACCGTGCCAACCCACAGGCACTGTATGTGGTCTACATGAAGCTGGCAGAGATCCATGCCAACCACATGCCAGACCCACTGCTCTGCCAGGCTTACAGGGACAGGGCACAGAGCCTGAGGAGAGAACTCTCTGGGCTGGGCGAGACGGATGGGAGGGGAGGAGAGATGGATGGGAGGGGAGGAGAGACAGAGGGGAGAGGAGGAGAGACGGGTGGGAGGGGAGGAGAGACGGAGGGGAGGGGAGGAGAGACAGATGGGAGGAGAGATGGATGGGAGGGGAGGAAAGATATGGGATACAGACCCGGAGACGAGAAACACAGACATGGAGGAGACCAAGACAGAGACTGGATGGAGTGAGTCTACAGGTTCTATCCCCAAAGAGGCTATTGACATGGACAGTGCATGGAGCCTGAGGTTGGAGCCTGCTGGGCTACGGGACATGGAGGAGAGAGACACAGAGGGTCAACACACAGGACTGGGAGACATGGAGGAGAGAGACACAGAGGGTCAACACACAGGACTGGGAGACATGGAGGAGAGAGACACAGAGGGTCAACACACAGGACTGGGAGACATGGAGGAGAGAGACACAGAGGGTCAACACACAGGACTGGGAGACATGGAGGAGAGAGACAGAGAGGGTCAACACACAGGACTGGGAGACATGGAGGAGAGAGACACAGAGGGTCAACACACAGGACTGGGAGACATGCAGGAGAGAGACAGAGAGGGTCAACACACAGGACTGGGAGACATGGAAAGGGGAGACACAGAGGGTCAACACACAGGACTGGGAGACATGGAGGAGAGAGACAGAGAGGGTCAACACACAGGACTGGGAGACATGGAAAGGGGAGACACAGAGGGTCAACACACAGGACTGGGAGACATGGAGGAGAGAGACACAGAGGGTCAACACACAGGACTGGGAGACATGGAGGAGAGAGACAGAGAGGGTCAACACACAGGACTGGGAGACATGGAAAGGGGAGACACAGAGGGTTAACACACAGGACTGGGAGACATGGAGAAGAGAGAAACAGAGGGTCAACACACAGGACTGGGAGACATGGAGGAGAGAGACACAGAGGGTCAACACACAGGACTGGGAGACATGGAGGAGAGAGACACAGAGGGTCAACACACAGGACTGGGAGACATGGAGGAGAGAGACACAGAGGGTCAACACACAGGACTGGGAGACATGGAGGAGAGAGACACAGAGGGTCAACACACAGGACTGGGAGACATGGAGGAGAGATACACAGAGGGTCAACACACAGGACTGGGAGACATGCAGGAGAGAGACACAGAGGGTCAACACACAGGACTGGGAGACATGGAGGAGAGAGACACAGAGGGTCAACACACAGGACTGGGAGACATGGAGGAGAGAGACACAGAGGGTCAACACACAGGACTGGGAGACATGGAGAGGGGAGACACAGAGGGTCAACACACAGGACTGGGAGACATGGAGGAGAGAGACACAGAGGGTCAACACACAGGACTGGGAGACATGGAGAGGGGAGACACAGAGGGTCAACACACAGGACTGGGAGACATGGAGGAGAGAGACAGAGAGGGTCAACACACAGGACTGGGAGACATGGAGAGGGGAGACAGAGAGGGTCAACACACAGGACTGGGAGACATGGAGGAGAGAGACACAGAGGGTCAACACACAGGACTGGGAGACATGGAGAGGGGAGACACAGAGGGTCAACACACAGGACTGGGAGACATGGAGGAGAGAGACAGAGAGGGTCAACACACAGGACTGGGAGACATGGAGGAGAGAGACACAGAGAGTCAACACACAGGACTGGGAGACATGGAGGAGAGAGACACAGAGGGTCAACACACAGGACTGGGAGACATGGAGGAGAGAGACACAGAGGGTCAACACACAGGACTGGGAGACATGGAGGAGAGAGACACAGAGGGTCAACACACAGGACTGGGAGACATGGAGGAGAGAGACAGAGAGGGTCAACACACAGGACTGGGAGACATGGAGGAGAGAGACACAGAGGGTCAACACACAGGACTGGGAGACATGCAGGAGAGAGACACAGAGGGTCAACACACAGGACTGGGAGACATGGAGGAGAGAGACACAGAGGGTCAACACACAGGACTGAGAGACATGGAGGAGAGAGACACAGAGGGTCAACACACAGGACTGGGAGACATGGAGAGGGGAGACACAGAGGGTCAACACACAGGACTGTGAGACATAGAGAGGGGAGACACAGAGGGTCAACACACAGGACTGGGAGACATGGAGGAGAGAGACACAGAGGGTCAACACACAGGACTGGGAGACATGGAGAGGGGAGACACAGAGGGTCAACACACAGGACTGGGAGACATGGAGGAGAGAGACACAGAGGGTCAACACACAGGACTGGGAGACATGGAGGAGAGAGACACAGAGGGTCAACACACAGGACTGGGAGACATGGAGGGGGGAGACACAGAGGGTCAACACACAGGACTGGGAGACATGGAGAGGGGAGACACAGAGGGTCAACCACAGGACTGGGAGACATGGAGGAGAGAGACAGAGAGGGTCAACACACAGGACTGGGAGACAGGGAGGAGAGAGACACAGAGGGTCAACACACAGGACTGGGAGACATGGAGGAGAGAGACAGAGAGGGTCAACACACAGGACTGGGAGACATGGAGGAGAGAGACACAGAGGGTCAACACACAGGACTGGGAGACATGGAGGAGAGAGACACAGAGAGTCAACACACAGGACTGGGAGACATGGAGGAGAGAGACAGAGAGGGTCAACACACAGGACTGGGAGACATGGACGGGAGAGAGACAGAGACAGGACACCCCAACAATATAGAGAGGAGAAACACAGAGAGACAGCATACAGTCACAGAAAACAGAGAAACAGAGACTGAGACTGGATGTGGTGACTCTATCGATGCAGAAGCTAACTCCAAAGATGCTAACTGTAAGGATGGCAGCCACACCAATGCAGATAGCCATCAAGCAGATTCTGATGTGTTTAAAGGAGACCGAGACACCAGTCATTCAAATCCAGACAAAAACCTCACAGAGGCTACTCACACAGACCAAGACACTGACAGTACAGACACAAGCCCTTGTCAAGCAGATGTTGAACACACACAGAATGACTATACAACAACAAGCAGTGTATTTGTAGACACAACAATAACAGAGGATACTGACAGTACAGACAGAATATCTTGTGACCCTAAGAACACAGAGACCACGCCAACAGACACGCATCAAACATAGCGACTCAACAGCCACAGACACAGATACAGACACACCCTACAAACACAGCCCTACAGACAGTCCTCACACAGACACAGATACAGACATATACTCTCCTCTCCAAGGCAGACACAGAGGTAACCCACGGAGATAGCCCTACAGACACAGGTACAGACATTCTTCACTCTGATGTCGATCGTTCAGACAGTAACGTTATAAAGACAGACAGACGCCGTTCAGCCACAGACTGACCAAGATGATGATATATCTGTTCACACCCTCACAGATACTCTCCATGAAGATACTATCACTCCTACAGACACTCACACAGACGTCGGCCATATTTACTATGTTTTTTTTACAATAATATTATGTCTGTATGTAATTATGAATGTGCAACTTTCCTATGGTTTACATACTCTGTATATTACAGAGGTTTATCAAGCTTTTGTAAATATGTAGTATTTATATCTGAATTAAAGTTATGTTTGACTAGATCATAGTGTTTGTTTTGGTGTAATTCAGTTTTAACGATTTGTCAACCAACACTAACATACAGTATAAACTTAGGCTAGAATTTCTAATGACAAACAGATAATTTAATCTAGTCAACATTTCTAAATAGTTAGTATACCTCTGGCCAATACATAATACACTTCAACATATCAGGCCATAACATCACAGAAACATTAAGTGAATATACCCCCCGTTTTTTCATTGGAACATTCCAATTATTGAGCGGGCAATGCTGCTGGATAGTGTTCCTCTGATAAGTCCACAAACAATGCACAGTGGTGGAGAGTAGGCAGGCAGCGATCATTTGTAACTTTTAACCCTAAAAACCAATGGGTCAATTGCAACCAACAGGCAGACTTAATGCCATACTGCAGGTTACCACTGGATGTCTTAAAGTGCTACTAACGGGAGATTACATGCACCAGTGTGTTAAAACAAACTTACTTGCAACCAAAAAAGAATAGACTTGCAGATCAGTTGATCTCCCGTTGTTACCGTGTCAAACGAGTTAGATACCAGGAAGCTGGGTCTACGTTCTCTACTCCGCCCCCAATGACATCTCGACCTATCAGGACCATTGAAGATAACAAGGCTGGTAAATAATCCAAAATATTTATTGTAAGAATATAGTCCCAGTGAATTGTAAGAAACTTGAGTACAGTAAACTTGAGTAGAGTATAGTACAGTACAGTAGTATAGTTCAGTACAGTAGAGTACAGTATAGTACAGTATAATATAGTTCACTACAGTACAGTAGAGTATAGTTCAGTACAGTAGTATAGTTCAGTACAGTATAGTAATATAGTTCAGTACAGTAGTGTAGTTCAGTAGAGTACAGTATAGTTCAGTACAGTAGTGTAGTTCAGTAGAGTACAGTATAGTTCAGTACAGTAGTGTAGTTCAGTAGAGTATAGTTCTGTACAGTACAGTATAGTTCAGTACAGTAGTATAGTTCAATACAGTAGTATAGTTCAGTACAGTTGAGTACAGTACAGTCGATTGATTAGACTATAATTTAATGAAAACATATTATATTAACACAATCATGATTGGCTTGATTTAGTTACCAATTATAGATGTGGACAGTTCAGGAACACTTTCTTTTCCCCTTGACCATACTGTAGTAAGACTAGTTATTAATGGTTGGCATACTTTATTAAGACTAGTTATTAATGGATGACATACTGTATTAAGACTAGTTATTAATGGATGACATACTGTATTAAGGCTAGTTATTAATGGATGACATACTGTATTAAGACTAGTTATTAATGGATGACATACTGTATTAAGACTAGTTATTAATGGATGACATACTGTATTAAGGCTAGTTATTAATGGATGACATACTGTAGTAAGACTAGTTATTAATGGATGACATACTGTAGTAAGACTAGTTATTAATGGATGACATACTGTAGTAAGACTAGTTATTAATGGATGACATACTGTATTAAGACTAGTTATTAATGGATGACATACTGTATTAAGGCTAGTTATTAATGGATGACATACTGTAGTAAGACTAGTTATTAATGGATGACATACTGTAGTAAGACTAGTTATTAATGGATGACATACTGTAGTAAGACTAGTTATTAATGGATGACATACTGTAGTAAGACTAGTTATTATTGGATGACATACTGTAGTAAGACTAGTTATTATTGGATGACATACTGTATTAAGGCTTGTTATTATTGGATGACATACTGTAGTAAGACTAGTTATTATTGGATGACATACTGTATTAAGACTAGTTATTAATGGATGACATACTGTAGTAAGACTAGTTATTAATGGATGACATACTGTATTAAGACTAGTTATTATTGGATGACATACTGTATTAAGACTAGTTAATAATGGATGACATACTGTAGTAAGACTAGTTATTAATGGATGACATACTGTATTAAGACTAGTTATTAATGGATGACATACTGTAGTAAGACTAGTTATTAATGGATGACATACTGTAGTAAGACTAGTTATTATTGGATGACATACTGTAGTAAGACTAGTTATTATTGGATGACATACTGTATTAAGGCTAGTTATTATTGGATGACATACTGTAGTAAGACTAGTTATTAATGGATGACATACTGTATTAAGACTAGTTATTAATGGATGACATGACTGTATTAGACTAGTTATTAATGGATGACATACTGTAGTAAGACTAGTTATTATTGGATGACATATGTAGTAAGACTAGTTATTATTGGATGACATACTGTATTAAGGCTAGTTATTATTGGATGACATACTGTAGTAAGACTAGTTATTAATGGATGACATACTGTATTAAGACTAGTTATTAATGGATGACATACTGTATTAGACTAGTTATTAATGGATGACATACTGTAGTAAGACTAGTTATATTGGATGACATATACGTATACGGCTTAGTATTTGGATGACATTTACTGTATTACAGGCCTCTAGTTTGATTATTTGGATGAACATTACTGTATAAGGCTAGGTTATTTTTGGATGACTATACTGTAGTAAGGACTAGTTATTAATGGATGACATAATGTATTAAGGCTAGTTATTATTGGATGACATACTGTAGTAAGACTAGTTATTAATGGATGACATACTGTATTAAGGCTAGTTATTAATGGATGACATACTGTATTAAGACTAGTTATTAATGGATGACATACTGTAGTAAGACTAGTTATTAATGGATGACATACTGTAGTAAGACTAGTTATTAATGGATGACATACTGTAGTAAGACTAGTTATTAATGGATGACATACTGTAGTAAGACTAGTTATTAATGGATGACATACTGTAGTAAGACTAGTTATTAATGGATGACATACTGTAGTAAGACTAGTTATTAATGGATGACATACTGTAGTAAGACTAGTTATTAATGGATGACATACTGTATTAAGACTAGTTATTAATGGATGACATACTGTATTAAGACTAGTTGTTAGTCTCTCTACACTCCACAGAGCTGGGCTTTACGGAAGAGTGGCCAGAAAAAAAGCCATTGCTTAAAGAAGAAAATAAGCAAACACGTTTGGTGTTCGCCAAAAGGCATGTGGGAGACTCCCCAAACATATGGAAGAAGGTACTTTGGTCAGATGAGACTAAAATTTTGCTTTTTGGCCATCATCGAAAACTCTATGTCTGGCGCAAACCCAACACCTCTCATCACCCCGAGAATACCATCCCAGTGGCAGCATCATGCTGTGGGGATGTTTTTCATCGGCATGAACTGGGAAACTGGTCAGAATTGAAGGAATGATGGATGGCGCTAAATACAGGGAAATTCTTGAGGGAAACCTGTTTCAGTCTTCCAGAGATTTGAGTCTGGGACGGAGGTTCCCCTTCCAGCAGGACAATAGCCCTAAGCATACTGCTAAAGCAACACTCAAGTGGTTTAAGGGGATACATTTAAATGTCTTGGAATGGCCTAGTCAAAGCCCAGACCTCAATCCAATTGAGAATCTGTGGTATGACTTAAAGATTGCTGTACAGCAACTTGAAGGAGCTGGAGCAGTTTTGCCTTGAAGAATGGGCAAAAATCCCAGTGGCTAGATGTGCCAAGCTTATAGAGACATACCCCAAGAGACTTGCAGTTGTAATTGCTGCAAAAGGTGGCTCCATAATGTATTGACTTTGGGGGGGGGGGGGGGGGGGGGGGGGGGGGTGAATAGTTTTGCACGCTCAAGTTTTCTGTTTTTTTTGTCTTATTTCTTGTTTGTTTCACAAAAAAAAGTATTTTGCATCTTCAAAGTGGTAGGCATGTTGTGTAAATCAAATGATACAAACCCCACAAAACTCCATTTTAATTCCAGGTTGTCAGGCAACAAAATAAAAGAAAAATGCCAAGGGGGGTGAATACTTTCGCAAGCCACTGTATGCCAGGGAGATATGTATACTGTAGCTAAGAAAGTAATACTAAGTGTATGTTGTGTAGTAAGCTGTTAGTAGCCCATGCGCCTCACCCTAATGATTTGGTCAATTTTCCCCTCTTAATTCCGCCGACTGTTCTGACTTGGTGGTGCACATTTAGCCTATAGCCTGTTTTAGAGAAATGTCATCATCGAATATTGTAAGAGCTTTCATTGTCTGCTTATATGCCCCCTTTATTTATCCTACGGTTCTGACTTGGTGTACAGGGAGAACACTGTAAGAACGGCCCATGTTCTGAATTGTACATTTAAAAAGTGCTGAACAAATAGTTATATTGACTACGTCCGTCCTAGCTCGCTCATTAATGTCTTAATCAAAATTACAGATTGCCTCTTATCCGCTCGTCGTCCCCTTATGCCATAGTTTGTACATCTCAATTGTCATTAGAAACCACATTTGTTTAAGCAAGGCAGCCATATCAGCTATGTTTTTTTTTAAAGGCAGTAAATTAGGCTGAATGAACTGTTTCACTGCCAGTCAAGGCTCCGCTGATAGCCAGGTGTAGTAGTGGTAAGGTGTTGGGACTGCTGTTGGGACTCTGCTGTTGGGACAGCTTTATGTAGGCCCTAACAGTTTGTGGGCACCGTTTGTCACCGTTATAGTGCAATTCATGTATTGTTTAGTGTTGTGTAGTGGCTTTGCTGGCATGCATCTAGAAAAAATGTTTTTAGTTTTCCCAACCAAACTGTACGTGCTAAAATCACCACTGCATGTAAGTGCTATCCCCCTTAGGGTTTTTGGCAAAGGGGACTTTTTAGAGGGAGCTTGCCGTTCTGAATCTCACAGC